ATTTATTGGCAACTCTCTTTTTTTTACAACTTAAAGAAGTCTCTTTAACATTTCTTGTAAGGTTGGTGTAGTGGTGCTGAAATACATTTATTTTTGCTTGTCTGGGAAATTCTTTCTTTCTTATTTAGTGCTGAAGGACAACTTAAGTGTACTGACTTTTGTATGTTGATTTTGTATCCTGCAACTTTACTGAATTTATTTATTCTGGGTTTTATGTGTGTGTGTGTGTGACATCTTTATGATTTTCTATATTTTAATATCATGTTTTCCTTCAATACTGAAGGACATCTTTGCTGGGTAGAGTATTTTTGATTGCTAGTTTTGTTCTTTCAGCACACCAAATATATCATCCCAGTCTCTTCTAGCCTGCAAAGTTTCTATTTAAAAAAAAATCTAATAATCTGCTGATAATACTATGGGAGTTCCCTGTATGTAACAAGTTGTCTTTCTCTTGCTGCTTTTAAGATTCTCTTCTTGTCTTTAATTTTGACAATTTTATTGTAATTTGTCTCACTGTGAGTCTCTTTACAATCATCGCTTTTTTGGGAATCTAACCTTCCCCCAGGTTAGAGAGATTTCAGGCATTATCTTTGAATTAGCTTTCTCTCTCTTCCCCTTCTGAACTCCTTTAAATGAGTATTTTGGTCACTTTGATGGTGTCCCACATGTCCCTTAAGCTGTCTCCAATCTTTTGTCTTTTTCTTTGGTTGGATGAATTCTACTACCTTATTGAATTCACTGGTATTTTTTCCTGTGGTTGAGCTAGTCTTATGTTGAACCGCTGTATTGAATTTTGTTTTAGTTCAGTTACTTTATTCTTCAGCCCTGTAATCTGTTTGGTACTTTTTTATATTTTCTATCTCTATTGAAATTCTCACTTTGTTCACACATGCTCTCCATTTTTATGTTCATTATTTTGAACTCTCAGGTAACTCATATCTGTTTCATTAAGATCTGTTTCTGTAGTTTCATCTTGTTCTTTGTGTAGAACATATTTTTGTTTCTTCATTTTCCTTGACTCTCCATGCTGGTTTCCATGCATTAAATAAAATAGCTACTTCTTCCAATCTGACAGAGTGGTGTTGTATAGAAGATAAATGTCATCATCTATCATCATGGCTTATGCTCCTGGTTGTGTCTTTGACTTTTGCGATTGTTCCCAACGGCTCCCAATAGTTGAGTGTGCCAAGACCTGTCAGTGTCCCAAAGGGGAGGATCTTGGTCAGCAGCTACAGGCAGGCCTGTTGGAAGCTGCACTTTCAGGCACCAGCTGGGAAAGTATGTAGGGTACATATATATATACAAATGTTGCTGGGCTGGCTAAAAAGTTTGCTTGTTTTTTTTCTATAAGATGGCTCCAGTAGTGCTTAGTTGTTTTTAACTTCATTCAAAACAGTTTTGTTAGATTGTATTGTGACAGCTGTCATATCAATGTGCATTTTTTTAAAAACTTATCAAAATTGGTGAATTTTTGTGTAGCCATTTTATTTTTTACTTTTAGAGGGAAGGGAAGGGAAGGAGAAAGAAGTATCGATGTTGTGAGAGAAACAATCAATCGGTTGCCTCTCGCACACACTCAACCAGGGATTTGGCCTGCAACTCAGGCATGTGTCCTGACTGAGAACTGAACCAGTGACCTTTCAGTGTGTAGGCCAGCATTCAATCCACAAAGCTACACCAGCCAGGGCTTGCATATCCATTTTAATATTGAAGATGGAAGAAAATAAAGAACATTTTTGACATACTATACTTTATTATTTCAAGAAAGTTAAAAACACAACACTAAGAAAAGCTTTGTGTAGTATATGGAGAAGGTGCTATGACTGATCAAACGTGTAAAAATTGGTTTGCAAAGTTTTGTGCTGGAGATTTCTCACTGGACAATGCTCCACAGTCTGGTAGACCAGTTGAAGTGGATAGCAATCAAATTGAGACATTAATTGAGAACAATCAACATTATACCGCACAGAAGAGAGCCGACATACTCAAAATATCCAAATAAAGTTATTGGTGAAACTGAAAAATGTATCTTTTATTTTATGGAAAAAACTAAACGGACTTTTTGGCCAACCCAGTAGTAGTTAGGTGTCTCTAGGGAAGAACTGGCAGGTGAGAATTTTCGCCTGCTTCCTCTGCACTGGGCCTCAGTAAAAAGTTGCAAATGGTGCTCCTGAGCCTGTTAAGAACTGTTTCTTAGTTTGCTGCAGTCCCGTGGGACTCGTGAGCGCAAGCCTCATTAACTACGGAGTCAGGCAGTTGGGAGGCCTGTCCTTCAGGTGGCAGCCACGAAAGCTAGGGCACCAGACACGTGTATGGTCTCCTTTCCGGGAGAAACTGGTGAGACTCAGAGTGGGCTAGAGGGGGAGGGCCGAGGAGGGTTACGTCGGTTTTCCCCGCCTTTGGGAAGGATGCAGCCAGCCTCCAGGTGCATGCTGAATTAGAAGGCAGCCGCTCTTAGACCGTGCAAATAGACCTCTTTGGGGGAAAGACTGGGAGATGGGCATTTCTGTCTGACCCCTGTATACTGCATCCTGGAGGAATAGCCAAGGAGGATTTCTTTGTTTGGTGTGGGCCTGCAGGACTCCTGAACGGAAGCCCCATTGGGTACCAGAGTCATGTGATCTGGAGACCTATCTGAGTCACAGATGTGTATACAAGTTCCCTCCAGGGAGATACAGGTGGCTTGGAGCATTCTAGAGGGATAGGGCAGAGGATGTATCCACTGGTTTCCGGGGTTTGGGGAAAGACTTTGGCAAGCCCTAGAAGTGTGCCAAGTTTGAAGCCTGGCCTGGCTCTCAGGCAGCAGCTTTTAAAGTTTGTCAAATAGCCCTCGTTCAGGAAAAGACGGAAATGGGTGTGTTTTGCCCACTCCCTTTGCACACTGATCCTGGAGTGATAGCTGAAGTATTGTGCACTGCTTCTGGGTGGTTTGCTCTAGTCGTGTAGTCTCATGGATGAAACCCCATTGGTTTTCAGGGCTAGGGGTTTGGGGGCCCATTCTTTGGGTGAAAGTTTTAAAAATTGGGGTGCTAGGTGTAGGGTCCAAACCCTTTCCTTCTCAGGGAGAAACTGGGCTTCGAGGGTTCTCTCCTGATTGTTGGCACTTTGCAGGGGTGGGGCTTATGACCAGAGTGCATCTCAGTCTTTCCTCTTCATTTCGATGTGGGTATTTTCTTGTTCCCCACACAAACAAGAGGCACTCACCTAGTTTCTGAATGTGTCTCAGAGAAGATTGCTCCCTGTGTGGCTGTTCCTTCTGGTGTGTCTCGGGGAGGGGAAAGGGGAGGGGGAGGGGAACCAGGAGCCGTCTCTGTCACCACCACATAACTTTCCAAATTATGTTTGTTGTGTTGTTGGTTGGTTGGTCCAGGGATGGGCAGATCTGAGCATAGCTGAGAGAAAATGGCAGGAGTCCCCAACAAGGAAAAGATTTACGATAGCAGAAGGGGATATTGATGGAGCCAGGTTTGGAGAGAAGCAATGTGAACTGAAGATAACAGAGAGAGGGACTGACCCTGGATGTGGGCGGTAGAGACAGCCTCCCTTTGAGGTGGGAGAAAGGGCAGAATTGTGAGTGACATGCTAGGAAGTTGAGGGAACACATTTCTGATGGACTATATTTTCTCAGTAAATTTGGAGGGACAAATGTTTCCTGATTATGAAAGAAAAGGAGGTGGCTCAGGAATAAAGAAAATGAGAAAGAGGCAATTGGAGAAGAGGCTAAAGTTCAAAGATTGATAAAGTTACAGAATTCCACCAAATATTTTTATTTCCGACATGCATTGGACCTTTCTGGGGAGCATTTATGATACAAATTATCACAAGTAATATCTATTGAGTGCTTGTGGATTGTCAGGCACCACGCTAAGAACACTGAATAATTTCAGTACTCTTATTCAGTGTTCAGTATTTGTAGCAGTCTCTGAGGTGGGTGTGATCATTATCCCCATTTTACAGATGAGCAAGTATAAGAGAGAAGTGAAGTTGGAGTTGAACCTTGACTAGTGTACATTGGATGATTTACTTAATCTCTTGAAGTCCCAAATTCCACTTGGAGAATGGGGATCAGGACCTCTATTTTATAAAACTGTTACTGATCTTAAATGAGATAGTATGTCTCAAAGAGCCTAACACACGCTGGTGCTCAACCATTTTAAAGCCATCATGGAATATGGACTGATGCCACGCCAACAGTTGATGCAGCCATCGTGATCTGAGCTTGTGCTCTCCCTCCCCTCAAAGGAAGGCAGGGCCCTGCACCACAGGAGCAAGAATCCCTGTTACCTTGTGCTGCCAGGCAGATGGCATAATGTGTGACACAGCCTAGTGCTGGGGGGAAAAAAAGCAACAGCAATAGAGACGGTGGCCTGAACCGAAGTCACCAAAGGTGTTCACATTCAAACACCACGTGGAGACCCAAGAAACCTCTTCCCCTCACCACGTGTGGCCCACATGCTGCCAGCTTCTGACTCTTGGAGACTGTATTTGAAGATTCTAGATTGTATTTGCCTCTCGTTTACTATATATCTTTGGCCTCCTCGAACCACAAAGTAGACAAAACAATGGCCTGCATCTCAGAGATAGCGCTAGGAGAGGTTGGCTGACATATGTCAAGTTCTGGTGAGGATTTATAATTGGAGTATTCTTGCATAAAAAATTCCTACCAGTACAATAAACAGGTGGCAAGGACTATGGTTAAGTTGGCAACACAGCAGATAACAGGGACCCAGGGAGTTCCCTTTGGCAACTGATCTGAGGGTCCTTTTGATGACAATGATTGATGAAGCTGCTGTCCCTTGTGAGGAGCAGGCCAGGGCAGCACTGCTTCTCTGCAGGTGTGTTGAGAGACGGACACCCTGAAAGGGACAAGGTTAGGCCATGTCCCAACAGGGAAGGCAGAGGAGCCTTGAGCTCAGTGTCCTGAATGCCCCGGGTATTGCACGCTCCCCCCAGAGGATCCAAATTGCCTTTCCAGGCCACATCTTGAAATCTCTCTGACATGAAAGAAACACATCACTTTACTGTTGTGGCTGAAATATTGCTCATATTTATTGAAAAGGGAATCATAATGCAGCTGTAGAGACCCAGCATCCACAGTTCGTCCAACACTGACTGTAAATCACGCTTGGGCTTGTTATCCCTTCGTTGAAAGCACAACCGCTCTAAGGAAATGTCCCCAGGAGGAGTAACCTGGAAGACGTCCCTTCTGTTGTACCCACTAGGAAGCATAAGCTAGTAAAGTGGAGGCAGAAGCTTGGAAATGAAGTGCCCTTGAGCAAAAAGTTTCAATGCCATTCAGTTGAGAGCAGAGAGGTCGCCCCTGAGGCGGGAGCCTGCCACCTAGACTCAAGTGACACAAGGTCCAACCCTCAGACTGGCTGCCAGTGGAATGGAAATCTGACAGTAGCTGCTACTTTTAATGGGAAGTCAGAATAATCAGGCCCTGCAGTGTCGCGGGTGGTCCATGGGCAGCAGGTCCCCTGGTGAAGGGCCAGGAGCTTCTATCTGGAAAAGCAGGGAAGGGAAAGGTGGTCGTCTCCTCTCAGCAACAGAAGATAACCGACAGGGCACTCAACTGACTTCTTAAGGACACAACTGGGACTTGGTCAAATGTGCCTAAGTCAAGAGCTCAAGAGGCAGGTATAATGAACATGCTGCTGTTTTCTTGTAGGACTGTCTTTAAAGGCATCTTTCCCAAGGGGATGAAGTGTCTTGATTGGGTACAGGGGCAGTCACAACAGGTGGGACTGATGTACAAACACTGCTCCAGGGCACGGTCTGTCCTGGTGGGCGGAAAGCATTTGCATAAAGAAGCAAGAGGTTGGAACACCTGCAAAAAGCCCTTTGGGGGTCTGGATGCGAAGGAGGTGAGGCCACCTGATCCCAATCGGTAAGGAAGTGTCCTTACCAAAGTCCACAGCGTCTTGGGGCAGCTCCCCTTGAATCTGGAAAAGTGGGAAGAAATTACTGAGCGAACAATAAAAATTTAGAAGGGGCTGCGATCCCGCTCAGGGTTTTCCAACTTGGGACCGTGGTATGATGAAACATGGCAGGCCCGTAAAAGGCCATGTCCCCCTTGATTAAAGGGACCCCAAGATGTCATCTTCAGCTCTGGGCAGCTGGTATTGGAAACTGGATATAATGTATGTTTTTAATGGCCTTCTGTCCAACTCAGTTCCCTTACCTGTGCCAAGTTCATTAAGTTCACATGCCTCAGCTGTGAGAATATGCTGGCTGGAGTAGGGACATGCTACACGTGTTCCTTATAAGCACCCCTGGGAGTTTTGCAAGGCTACCATCCTCCTTCCAAAAATCTGGAAAATGAGACACCGGACGGTCCCATGGCACAATTCAGATCACTCCTCAAAACTACTTTCTGGAGCTCAGAGCTGAGACCACATTGCCCCCTCTTCTGAAGTAAAGGCCAACCTCCTTGAAGTCTCATACACCTAGAGAGTCTAAAATGTGCTTTCCCCATTTTTTGCACTTTGCAGGCTGCTCCCAGAAGCTGAGCACAGGCCTCAGGCAAGCATACAGCTTGCTTGATCTTGCTGCCTCTGGACTCCCAGCACCATGTCTGGGACCAGGCGAGGTAGGGGCAGCAAGACTTGCCCTTTAAACCAACTAGACACTACCAAATGCATAGCAAAAATATCTTCTACAAGATCTGAAATATGTACACGTCCAACACCATCATCATCTTCCATTCTCTGGCGAGAGGCACTGCGCCCCAGCAGTGCTGGCTGAGGCTCCGTGGGGTCCCCCCTACCCCCGCATGTAGGTACGGCGAGCGGGCTCCCGCCCCAGGGCGTTGATGTGCGGGATGGCTCCTGCCGTGGCTGCCAGCTTCTCACTGAGCTTCTGGTTGACCAGTTCCAGGTGGCGGCTGTTCTTCCGCGCCTGACGCAGAGACCTCTTAACCTTTTTCACCCGGTCCCGGAGCTGCCTGTTCCGCTTCTCCAGGGTGGCCACCTTCTGCTGCAGCTTCTTGACGTGATCCTCCTCCTCAAACAGGGCCTTCTGCACCGATGAACACATGAGCTGGGGACATAAACACCGTGCAGGGAGAGGCAGGTGAGTTTCAGGAAGTCTGCCCAGGTCGGTGTCCCAGACCCTAGTGCCACCCGCAGCTTGGACTCCAGAACAAGGACACCACTCGTGGCTCCTTTCTCGCCCGCCCAGACTTCAAACAGAGCCCCTCTTTTGTTTTCTATGTTTGGAGGTCCTTAGATAATCTTGTTTTAAAAAGATATTCTGGATATTTGTCACTCCTATTCAAAAGGAAAGAGCTTCAGTGAATCAAGAAGTAAAAGACCAAAACCCGAGACAGAAAAATGCACAAGGAATATGCACAGTTCACAGGAAAGGTATTATACATCTCTCTTAAATGTAGGAAAAGTATCTCAGCTTCTCTCATAGTAAGATAAATGCAAATCACAGCCTCGATAAGTTGCTATTTTTCACAGACTGAGTCCGGATGTGGGGAAATAGCCCTCTCATATGGTGTAGGTAAAGTATAAGCTGCTGTAAAAAGCAATCTGACTACATCTATCAAAACAAAAGCGTCATATACCCTTTGATCTAGTAACTCTGGGCTTTTTCTCATAGAAATGCTCCCACGTGTGCAAACTGCCACATGCAGAATATGTGACAGTATTGCTTGTTATAAGAAGATTGAGAAGAGACGTTAGCATCATGGTGGCCTGAGATGTCCTTGGTTTTTTTTGTCAACCATCCCAAAACGAAAATTTGGCATCCATTCATGAGCAAATGTGCATTTGTAGGACCTATGGGATTCAGTGACCATATACCCAGGGGCCCAGGAGGAGTCTGGCCCCCCAGGCATCACACAGGCCGCGGTCCCAGTGTGCAGCCTGCAGTGGGCCATGCACCAGCTCCAGCCCCTCCTAGGCTAAGGGCCTCAGAGTAGATGTACAAAGGACCAACAGGTATATCACTAATCAAGGAAATACAAAGCAAAACCACAATGAGGTATCACCTCACCCGTTAGAATGGCTGTCATCAAAAAGATAAGAGAGATGGTTATGGTAGGGATGGAGACACAGGCAAATCCTGCAGTCGCCTCCTCCCATGGACACACCGGATCCACAGCTACATACAGAACAGTTCCCTATGACAGAAACCCAGTAACCAGAGGAATGGCTCCTACACACTGAGCAAATGAGAAAAGGAAAACCCGCATGGAAATAGGAAAGACAGGAGGAGACAGAAGCTTGTCATGAAACCCTGGTGTGACCCTCATGTTGGGGACTCCAGCTTTTAAGACCTGCACGTGAGAGATGAACCCCCCAAAAAATCCAGCAGGGCTGTGTCCACAAGGCTACAGCAAACTGAGAAATAGTTCTCCAGGACTCGCTCATGGATTCCCCCACCCCAGGGCCCGGCACAAAGACAATGGGCAATGGACTGAAAAGTACCCAATGTCCCTGAGAAGAGGCCTAGTTGCTTATCTTAAATATTCAGCCTGAGAGACTTCTAAGTACACACTGGGAGGCCTACTGCAATGTTCTCCAAATTCAGACTCTGCCTTGCTCCAGGTCATGGGCACCACCCAGCAAGGAGCTTGTACACACACCTGGTGCCCCAGTGTTTATGGCTGTGCCCAAGGGACACCCCTTGATCACTTGGTTCTGGTGGCCAGCCGGGCTCACCGATGCAGATCCCATATAACTGTAAAAAGTAGAGAAACAGTCCTTTACCAGCTGCCCCACTCAAGGCATAGTGGGGGCAATGCTGCAGGCTACAAATTGAAACCCTCTGTGACCTGGCACAGCGCAAACTCCAGGGCCTTCGAGCACATCACTGAACACACACATGAAGAAGTCATGGACGACCCAGCTTCTTTGCCAGGATGCCCTCCTGGCTTCTTATGCCAGCAAAATGGAAAAGTACTATGGGGAGAATAACGTACCTTTCAAGATTTTTTTAAAATTAATTTTAGAGAAAGAGAGAAACAGCAGTTTGTTGTTCCACTTATTTATGTACTTGGTTGCTGCTTGTACATGCCCTGACTGGGGATTGAACTTGCAACCCTGGCATACCAGGATGATGCTCTAACAAAGTGAGCTACCTGGCTAGGGGCCAAGACTGTGCTTATTGTTGATAACGCTCACAGACATTCTCCTTTTTCCAATCTTCATCATGATATCAAAATGGTGTTTCTCCCTTCAAACACAGCCCCTCTTTGATCCAAACAATCAAGCAAGGAGCAAGGGGTTACAGCAGCTTTTAAAGCCTGCTCCTGAAGAGGACCTTTGCCCGGGCCACCGCTGCAACAGAGGACACAGGTGCTACTCTGGAAGGATCACAGCCTCTGTGACTGAGTGAAGAACCCTGCGTGGGCTTGAGGTGATGTGACCAGAGAGTGTGTGAATGGTATCCGAAAGAAGATACTCAAGAGGTTCGTCCACAACTTCAAAGTATTTGCCAAGGATAAGGGGGCTGCAAAAATCAACAAGGCTACGAGTGAGGATGACATCGAGGAGCCCCTAGAGCTGGTCCCTGAGGAACCAATGAATGAGTTGTTGGAACAGGAACGCATAGCTGAAGAAGAGGCAAGAGAGAAAATTGCAAGACGACAAACCACCCTCAAGAAAAGTCACAGTGAACAGCTTAGCAGAAGCTTCTTTTGCAGACCTCAAAGAAGTTCCTTAACACGTTTAAAAACATGGACCCCAACACCAAAAGGTTTTCATTAATAGACCTTTCATGAATGTCCATGATGCATTACATATGATGAAAATCTATAATGAAAAAAAGAAACCAAGCAAACCACCATGGACCTATTTCTGAAGAGAGTGACTTATCCTCCATTAGAGCCGCAGGCGGGTCCTTCAGCAGGTGTCCAGGAGGCCCTGCTATCCAAGGAGACGACAGCTCTGTGTGGGTTACAGCCCCTGGAACCCTTCCAGGGGGACAAGATGTGACTGTGGGAACCCATGAGTGACACCGATGCCCCGGACTCTGTGTAGGCCATGGCTGACGTGAGTGTTTGTGTCTTAGTTCTTAACAAAAGAAAAGTTTTCATAGGAAAAAGCTTACAGAACAGAGAGATAAAGAAAATATTTTGTATAGCTGTACAATGTCTTTGTGTTTTAAGCTAAGTGTTATTACAAGAATCAAGTAAGAAAGTTAAAGTTTATAAATTAAAAACGTTATAGTCCTGCAAGCCTCAGTCATGGTCAGTGTGCAATACAGGTGTGCCGTTTTCTATCTTTCATAGTGTACTTTTACTGTACCTTTTCTATGTTTAGACACACAAATACTTACTATTGTGTTACAATTGTCTACGGTAGTCAATACAACAACATGCCATACAGGTTTGGAGCTTTAGGAGTAACAGACATACAGCCTAGGTGTGTGGTGCAGCCTGTACCTCTAGGTCTATGTAAGTGCACTCTATCATGTTTGCATAGTGACAAAATCGCCTAATGACACATTTCTCAAACGGTATCCGACTGTAGTAAGGTGGCAGCTTAATCACATATAAAGCCATTCTGAAGGTTAAAAGATAAAAGTAATAAAAAATAGCTATATCTACAATAATTTGTTAATGGATACACAAGATACAAAGATGTAAATTGTGATTTCAAAAACACAAAACATAATACGTGGGGGAGAGGGTGGTAAAAAAGTAAAGCTTTCGAATGTGTTTAAAAATAAGTTGGTATGAACATAAAGTATACTTACAAGTTGTTTTATCCAAGGGTCATGGTAACTATAAAGCAAGAACCTTTAGTACACACACAAAAGATAAAGGAATCTTAACCATGCCACTGTAGAATATCAAGTCAGAAAGGAAGAAAAGAAGTTACAAAACAGCCAGAAAACAATTAACAAAATGGCAATATGTATGTACCCATCTGTAATTACTTTGAATGTAAATGAAGTAAACTCTCCAATCAGAAGACACTAAATGGATTTAAAAAATATTAAAAACCCAATTGTATGCAGGCTAGAGAAACTGCTATCAGCCTTAAGGACACACAGACTGAATGCAAGGGGATGGAAAAAGACATTCCATGCAAAAAGAAACTAAAATAAAGCTGGCGTAGCTACACTTATATCAGACAAAATAGACTTCACAACAAAAACAAAGAAGGGCATTAAATAATGTAAAGAAATCAACCCAACAAAAGGATGTAACATTTAAAATATTTATGCACATAGTATAGCAGCACCCAAAGATACAGGCATAGGCAAAAGTAGGTTTAAAGTTGTATTATTTATTATTGTATTTATTTGTATTACAAGAGTAAACTCTGGTATTTCATGTGGTCATAACTGTAAACCTGCTTTTGCCCACTCCTGTATAGAGCAGAGACAGATAGAAATATAAGAGTAGTAGGGGAGTTTAATACTCTACATTGATCAATGTATAAATCATCCAGACAAAAGCTCAATAAGCAAACATTGGTCTTAAGCAACTCATTAAACTAGATGGACTTAACAGACATATCTTGAATATTCCATTCAAAAGCTAGAGCAAACACATTCTTAAGTACACATGGAACATTCTCCAGGACAGATCATATGGTGGGTCACAAAACAAGCCTTAATAAATTAAAGATTGGGTTCATATCAAGCATCTTTTCCACCCACAATGATATGAAACTATTAGAAATCAAGTATAAGAAGGAAGCTGGAAAATTCACAAATGTGAGGTGATTAAACAATATGCTAACGAATAACCAATGGGTCAAAGAATAAATCAAAAGAGAAATTAAAATATACCTTGAGACCAATGAAAAAGGAAACACAACAAACCTACAAATGTGGAATGCAGCAAAGCAGTTCTGAGAAGGAAGTTCATAGTGAAACATACCTACATTAAGAATAAGAAATATCTCATATAAATAACCTAGCTTTACACATCAAGGAACTAGAAATAGAAGAATTAAGCCCAACTTAGTAGAAGGAAAAAAAAAAGATCAAAACACAAATAAATGAAATGGAGACTTAGACAGTGGAAAAGATCAGTAAAACTAAGAGCTGACTTTTTGAAAAAATAAAACTCTACC